ACACAACTGCTGATCTGTGCAAACTGTGCACAACACACACAGCTGCAGTCACTCACAGCCTGACACAACTGCTGATCTGTGCAAACTGTGCACAACACACAGAGCTGTTCCCAGCACACACGGCCGTGCCCATCGTGCACAGCTCACAGCAGCACATCCCTGCCCACGACAGCCGTGCACAGCCTGCACAAACACACACACACACAGCAGGGCACACCCATTCACCACCCACAGCTCCACATAAACTGTGCACAACAACTGTGCAAAACTGCCCTGGAGCAAAACCAGCTCTGCACACACACAGACACACAGCGAGATACACAGACCTGTAATCACACTCACACACACACAGAGCTGTTAGCACACTCACACACACACAGAGCTGTAATCACATTCACACACACACAGAGCAGTTACACACACAGCTATTATCACACTCAGAGCTGTTATCAAACACACACACAAACACACACACACACATAGCTGCTATCACACACAGAACTGTCATCACACACACATACAGTTATCATACACATACACAGAGCTGTAACCACACTCACACACACACACAGAGCTGTTATCACACACACAGCTGTTGTCACACTCACACACACACAGCTGTTATCACACACACACACAGCTGTTATCAAACTCACACACACACACACAAACACCCACAGAGCTGTTGTCACACTCACTCACACAGAGCTGTTATCACACACAGAGCTGTTATCACACTGACACACAGCTGTTATCACACACATACACACACACAGAGCTGTTATTACACACTCACGCACAGAGCTGTTGTCACACCAGAAACACAGCTGTTATCTCACAGAGAGCTGTTATCTCACACACACACACACACACACACACAGAGCTGTTATCACACTCACACACTCAGAGCTGTTGTCACACTCACACAGAGCTGTTATCACACACACACACACACACACACACAGAGCTGTTATTACACTCACACACACAGAGCTGTTATCACACTCACACACAGCTGTTATCACACACATACACACACACAGAGCTGTTATCACACTCACACACAGCTGTTATCACACACACACACTCAGAGCTGTTATCACACACACAGAACTATTGTCACACACACACACACACACACACACACACACACACACACACACACACACACACAGCTGTTCTCACACTCACACTCACACACCCCTGTGCACACCCGCACACAACCACGCACGGCTGTGTCCCTCCTGCAGCCCGGGGAGCAGCGCGGGTTCGCGGGGCCGCGTCCGTCCTGTGCCGGGCCCGTGTCCCGGTGTCCCGGGCCGTGTCCCCGTGTCCCGGGCCGTGTCCCGGTGTCCCGGCCCGTGTCCCCGTGTCCCGGGCCGTGTCCCGGTGTCCCGGCCCGTGTCCCCGTGTCCCGGCCCGTGTCCCCGTGTCCCGGGCCGTGTCCCCGTGTCCCAAGCAGTGTCCCGGTGTCCCGGCCCGTGTCCCGGTGTCCCGGGCCGTGTCCCTCCGCTCCCCCGTGTCCCCGTGTCCCGTATCAGTGTCCCCTCGGGTGTCCCCCCGTGTCCCGGTGTCCCGTATCCGAGTCCCCGTGCCCCGCCGTGTCCCGGCGCCCGGGGCCGCTCCCGGCGGAAGGGGCCCGGCCGTGCCGCCCTGCCCTTCCGCCGGCCATGGAGCCGGGCTGGGAGCCGGGCGAGCCGGGCGAGCCGGGCTGGGCCCGGCCCGGGGGCGCGCTGGGCGCCCGGGGGCTGCTGGCGCTGGCCGCGGCTAGCGGGGCGGCCGTGTGGGCCACCTGGGCTGTGCTGCTGATGCCCGGCTTCCGCCGCGTCCCGCTGCGCCTGCAGGTACCGGGCACCCCGGCACCCCGGGGCCCCGGGCCCTCCTGCCCGGGCCCTTCCCCAGCACCCCGGGCCCTCCCCAGCACCCCGACCACTTCCCCAGCACCCCGAGCCCTCCCCGGCACCCGGAGCCCTTCCCCAGCACCCTGAGCCCTCCCCGGCACCCCGAGCCCTTCCCCAGCACCCCGAGATCCTTCCTGCCCGAGCCCTTCCCCAGCACCCTGGCCCTCCCCGGCACCCCGAGCCCTTCCCCAGCACCCCGAGCCCTCCCCGGCACCCCCGGATCCCTCCTGTCCGAGCCCTTCCCCGGCACCCCGAGCCCTCCCCGGCACCCCGAGCCCTTCCTCAGCACCCCGAGCCCTTCCCCGGCACCCCCAGATCCTTCCTGTCCGAGCCCTTCCCCAGCACCCCGAGCCCTTCCCCAGCACCCCGAGCCCTCCCTGGCACCCTGAGCCCTTCCCCAGCACCCCGAGCCCTTCCCCAGCACCCTGAGCCCTTCCCGGCACCCTGAGCCCTTCCCCGGCACCCCGAGCCCTTCCTCAGCACCACGAGCCCTTCCTCGGCACCCCCAGATCCCTCCTGCCCGAGCCCTTCCCCAGCACCCCGAACTCTTCCCCAGCACCCCGGGCCCTCCCCAGCACCCCGGCCCCCTCTGCCCGCCTGGGCCCCTCTGCCCGCCCGCCCCTGACCCGCTGTGCCCACAGGTGCCCTTCCAGCCCTCCAGCCCCCGGCAGGTGGCCAACAGCCTGGCCCTGCTGCGGGGCCGCGCCGGCAAGACCGTGGATCTGGGCTCCGGAGACGGACGGCTCGTAAGGCTCCCGGGGCTTTGGGGTGGCCGAAGGGCAGGGAGCGGGGCGGCACGCAGCGGTGGGGTGAAGGGGAGACCCCCGCCTGGCTGCTGGCCGTGCTGCTGGGTGCCCTCCTGGCCGCGGTCCACGACCATCCCAGGTGGTCCCAGAGGGTCCCCGATGGTCTCAGGCAGCTGCAGGTGGTTCTAGGTTGTGCTGGGTGTCCCTGCGTGTTCCTAATGAGTGTCCTGGGTGGTTCTAGACTGTCCTGGGTGGTTCTAGGTGACCCAGCATGGTCCTAGGTGGCTCTAAACAGCCCTGGGTGGTTCTAGGCAGGCCTAGGTGGTCCAGGCCAGCTCTAGATGGCCCTAGGTGGTCTTTGGCAGCCCTAAAAGACGCATGCAGGGAGCAGGGTGGCAGCGAGGGCTCTGGGTGGTGCTGAGCTCCGAGGTCACCCTGCCTGTGAGCCAGCAGGATGGGGTGAGTGGAGCTGGGCAGCAGCCCCTGCCCACCCAAATCCTGCCCCAAAGCATGGAGGTGCTTTGGCTTTCAGCCCTCCCTCTCTCCCTCTCCAGGTGCTCGAGGCTTACAAGCAGGGGCTGAGGCCAGCCCTGGGCTATGAGCTCAACCCCTGGCTGCTCTGCCTGGCCAACTACCGTGCCTGGAAGGCTGGGTACCACGGGAAGGTCTCCTTCCTGAAGAAGGATCTGTGGAAGGTAACAGCATCCCGAGGGTCTGGATGTGCTCAGGGCGGGGCCAGAGCTCTGTTTGCATCTCCAGGATGGATTTGTTCATGACTGCTTGCCCCATCCCACACTTCTTCTGGGAGGTGGAAATCCATCGTCCTTTCCAGGGAATGCCAGCTGGGGCAGCCCATGGCCAGTTCTGCTGCTTGGAGCAGCTCTGAGGAGAGGTGTGGGTGCTGCTGACAGGCTCATCTGCAGACATGAGCTTCTCAGGCTGACATGAGGTAGTTGCAGCCTGACCAGAGAGAATCCATCAGGGAATGTGGGTCTGGGATGGTGCTGGAGGCAGGTGTTTCCCAAGACGTGCTGCTTTCACACCCACCCTTCCCCATCCCACATCTTTTGTGGCATCTTTGCTCCCTCCAGGGTTCCAAAGATCACCCACAAGGTTTGGACACTCAAACAGTTGTTCCTGCTCTGCCTGTTGCTCGTTATTCCCCTTTTCCTTCTCTTTTAAGGTGAATCTCTCAGACTGCCACAACGTGATCGTGTTCCTGGCCCCCAGCGTGGTGAGTCAGCCCCTCACACCCTGAGTTGTTCTGGGCCAGCTCAAGGGGACTTTTTTTGGGAAAGAGAGGGGATCTGGGATGGAATAAGGCCAAGTGAGCATCTCTGTGGCTGAGTGGTTTGGTGCTACGCAATATTTGGATTTATAGAATCATGGAATCATGGAGGTTGGAAAATCCCTCTGGGATGGAGTCCTGCCATTGCCCCAGCACTGCCAGGGCCACACTGAGCCATGTCCCCAAGTGCCACATCCTTGTCTGTTAAAGCCCTGCGGGGATGGTGACCCCACCACTGCCCTGGGCAGCTGTGCCAGTGCCTTTCACCTTTCAGGGAAGAAATGTTCCCAATATCCAACCTGAACCTCCCCTGGTGCAACTTGAGGCAATTCCTCTTGTCCCTTTGCTCACGGCTTGTTCCAAGTCCCAGCCTTACCCAGCACCAGCCCTGTGCTCTGGAGGGTTGATGTCCCAGCAGCTTCCCCACGCTCCCTGGTGGCACTGCCACTGTGTCACCGTGTCCTAAGGCTGCCTGTCCTGGCTGTGTCTCTCTCCCCAGAAACCTCCCTTGGCCACCAAGCTGCTGGCAGAGCTGCCCGACGACGCGCGGGTGGTGGCCGGGCGCTACCCCTTCCCCTGCTGGACCCCCAGCAGCACCCTGGGCCAGGGCCTGGACCAGGTCTGGGCCTATGACATCAAGGAGGTGCGGCGAGAGGTGCAGGGCAGCGCCCAGCAAAGCCAGATCTGAGCCCAGCCTGGCTAAGCCTGGCTTAACAGCAGCCTCCTGCAGCCTGGCACTGAGGGGCAGAGCCACTCCAGCCCTTGGCTCGGCTTAGGACAGAGTGCTCGGCCAGCATTTGTCCTGGGGACTCGCAGGGTGGCAGATTTTCATTTTTCCAGAGTGTGAGCAAAGCAAGGGAGGAGAAAATCAGACCTGGAAATCCTGGGGTTAACGCAGGATTTAAGGGGTGAAGCTCCGGTGCTTCTTTTTGGATGATTGCTGCTTTATTTCAATTTAAGTGTTAAAAATAAAGCTTTGGTTGATTGTTCCTCTGAGGTTTTTGCTTTGTCTTTGAGCTGCTGGATGGTCTTGGAGTTGGAGCAGCAGCTGCCCCTGGCTTTGCTCTGCCATCCTTTCCAGCTCTGCTCTGTGCAGGATCAGTTTTGCCCTGCTCATCAATATAATATTGCATTTTCCACTGAAACACAGAGGAAAATGGGGTTTTCCCACCACAGAATCACAGAATCATGGAATGGGTTGGGTTGAAAAGGACCTTGAAGCTCCTCTTGTTCCACCCCCTGCCATGGGCTGGGACACCTTCCACTATCCCAGGCTGCTCCAAGCCCTGTCCAGCCTGGCCTTGGGCACTGCCAGGGATGCAGGGGCAGCCACAGCTGCTCTGGGCAGCCTTTCACCACCCTTACAGTGAAAGAGCAGCTCATCCCTTTGTCCAAGCCCAGAACAAATCCTGGTCTGAGCCAGCCTTGGCGCTGTCTCCCAGGGGAGGGGAGTGAGGCAGGAGCAGCCCTTGGTCCAGGTCCAGGTCTCATCCAGGAACAGCGTTCCAGCAGGAGCAGGAGCCCAGCAGTGAGAGCTGCCTGGGATCCAAGGGGTGCTCGGGGGAGAGCAGAATTCCTGCAGCCTGATGGGCACGGATGAGCTGCACTTGTCTCATTTTAGTCCTGTGAATTTAGGAGCACAAACACCCACCTGGTTCCTCTCGCCGTTCCCACCTCCCAGCCCGAGGAGGATCCTTGCCTGGCAGCCCATGGAGCACAGACCTCCCTTGGGGTGGGCTGTTCCCACAGCTGGGGCTGCTCTGGCTCGTGGCTGGCACCGGGCACCAGGGGCACCTCGCTGGTGTTCCTCAGCCGCAGGAGCTCCTGCTTGTACCTGCGTGGAAGTGCCACTGTCACTCACAGCAGTGTGGAAGTGCCACTGTCACTGACATGAGCAGTGTGGAAGTGCCACTGTCACCACTCATGGTCCCCAGGCAATGAGCCGTGCCAGGAGCTGAGCCTGGCATGCAGATCCTGCTGCTTTTCCCAAAGGAAAGGCATTCCTGGGCTGTGCCAGGTCAGGGCAGAGCCTGAGCTGAGCCCACAGCTGGGCAGGCACAGCAGGAGCGGGGGCATCATGCCCTGACACCCCTGCCCTGCTTGTCCTCTCCCTGCCCTGCTGTTCTCCCTGCTCCAGGGCAGGATGAGCCCTGGGAGGGGAACACAGATCAGGGCTGCTGGGAGCACTGGGGTTAGAACCTGTGAAAAGAGGAACTCTGAAGGTTTTAGGCTTTAGATTAGGCTTTAGATTTTAAGTGCCAGTGAAGGTTGCAAGGAAACCTTAGAGCCCCTTCCAGTGCTTAAAGAGACTCAGAGAGTGGGAGAGGGACTTTGGACAATGGCATAAAGTGACAGGACACAGGGAATGGCTCCCACTGCCAGAGGGCAGGGATGGATGGGATATTGGGAATTAGGAATTGTTCCCTGGCAGGGTGGGCAGGCCCTGGCACAGGGTGCCCAGAGCAGCTGTGGCTGCCCCTGGACCCCTGGAAGTGTTCCAGGCCAGGTTGGACAGGGCTTGGAGCAGCCTGGGACAGTGGAAGGTGTCCCTGGACATGGCAGGGGAGCTGGATGAACGTTTGTGTCACTCCCAACCCATTCCATGATCCTGATTCCTCCCAAGGATGGGTGAGCACACAGGGAAGGACACGAGTGGTGTGTGGGGTGTGTCTGTCCTGCTGCCCTGTGGCACAAGGGGTGGTGGCAGCTGCCTGCACAGCTGGAGGAGCAGTGGGACATGGGCCGTGCTGGCAGTGTGGTGGCAGGGCTGGCAGTGGGCATGGGGAGGGAGCTGGCACCAAGCCTGGAGAGGGGTCCCCATCTCACCTGGCAAGGTGCTGATCGATGTACCCCTGCAGCTCCGACACCTGCTCCTCTGCAGCCACAGCCCGAGTCAGCAGCTGGCTTCTCTGCTGCTCCAGGTCCTCCTGCAGGGCCAAGAAAACATGGAGAAAACGTGGAAAAAAGGAGATCTGTGCCATGGGAGTGAGGCGCTCAGCCCCTCTGTGCTGTGTGAGTCCGACCTTCTGACCACTTCCCCACCACTCCAACCCCTCTGCCACAACATCTCCCTTCTTCTGACCACAGAGATAGGCCCCATGCAGGTGTGGAGCTTGACATCCCCAGGGAATGGGCTTTACATGCCCAGGGAATGGGCTTTACATGCCCAGGGAGTGGTGGAGCCCTCCCTCAGGTTGCTGTGGACAGGGGAAGGCAGGACATGGAAGGGAATATCCCTGCAGCCAGCAGGAACCAAACTGGAAAGCTGGTTCAGATTCAGCCTAGACGTGAACCAGGCTGAATAGATTCAAAGAATCGTGGAATTCTGTAGGTTGGAAAAGCCCACTGGAATCCAGGTGTTAATCTGGCACTGCCAAGGCCACCACTAACCCATGTCCCCAGGTGCCACATCCACATGGCTTTTAAATCCCTGCAGGGATGGGGAGCCCACCACTGCCCTGGGCAGCTGTGCCAGTGCCTGACCACCCCTTCCATGAAGGAATATTCCAAATATCCAACCTAAAGCTCCCCTGGCCCAGCCTGAGGCTGTTCCCTCTCCTCCTGTCCCTGTTCCCAGGGAGCAGAGCCCGACTCCCCCTGGCTGTCCCCTCCTGTCAGGAGTTGTGCAGAGCCACAAGGTTCCCCCTGAGCCTCCTTTTCTCCAGGCTGAGCCCCTTCCCAGCTCCCTCAGCTGCTCCTGATGCTCCAGCCCCTTCCCAGCTCTGTTCCATTCTCTGGACCCCTTCCAGCCCCTCCATGTCCTTTCCTGTCATGGGTGGCCCACAACTGCCCCCAGGACTGGAGATGTCCCAGCAGTGCCAGCACAGGGCAGCAATCAGCCCCAGTTTATTACAGAGATGCCAAAAGGTTGTTCTGAAATGAGGAGTGACAAGGGGCTGCTGTCCCTGCTTTAGCAGCGGGGACAGTAAAGCCTGGAGGCACCAGCAGCTGGGACCTGCCAGCATTGCTTGGAGGGCTGAGGCCAAAGCCACAGCAAGGCTCCATGGAGAGTGATTCCCCAGGGAATGGGCACAGCCCCAGGGCTGCCAGAGCTCCAGGAGGGTTTGGACAATGATCTCAGGGATGCCCAGGGTGGGATTGTTGGGGTGTCTGTGCAGGGCCAGGAGCTGGACTGGATGATCCCAATGGACCCTTCCCACTCAGGACATTGTGTGGGAATAACTCCATGGAAGTTTCCTGCTCCAGCCTGGAGCAGCCCCAGGGCAGGAGTTGAGCAGCACATCTCTGCCTGTGGCTGAGAGATAAGCCTGCCCTCCAATGGGCTGTTCCAGACCTTTACCTGGGTGTTGAGTGTGAATTCCCGGAGCTTCTTCCTGACCTCTGCCCAGCCCTCCTCATCCAGCTGCCTGTGACAGAAAAGCTCATTGGGATCATGGCCAGACACAAATCCAGCCCCTGTGCAGATCACACAGCTCCACGCAGCCGGTGCCCGCCCCACCCTCATGCCCAGAACGGGAACCTTTCCTCTCCCAGTGCCCAGATTTCCCCAGGGCGTGTGGCACAGCCCTGCCCACAGCCTGGGGCTCCCCAGGCACGGCCGGGGCTGTTCCAAACCACATCAAGGCAGAAGAGTGTTGCTATAGGACACGTGAAAGCACAACGCCAGTTCCTGCTATTTGTGAGGAAAAGAAGAAGGGTTCTTTTTTGATTCTAATTTTTATATATTTTTTTAAAGGTGACAGTGGATTGGAGAGTGAATGTGTTATTTTTTTATTGGGTAAACTACCAGTATATTAAGTTTCTTTACCTTTATGAAGGAATGTAAAATAATATGTTGTTTATAGAAAATTGTGTGAGAAAGTTTTCTAACAGAATTTAAACTTAGAAAATCTTAAGAATCGGGGTGACAGAAGAGCCCTGACCGTGCTGGCTCAGGGAGCCCTGGGTGCCAGGGGCTGGCACTCTCCCTCGGGAGCAGGGCGCCGTGCTGGGCACCGAGCACCAGGAGAGGTGAGCTGTGTGCCCAGCCTGGCCTGGGAAAGCCCTTCCCAGCCTGTCCAGCCCCTGGGAGGAGAACACAGGTCCCGCAGAGAAGCTGGGGGAATTTGGGCTGTGGGGCTGTGCAGGAATGCACCGTGTCCCCTCTGGGTCCCCGTGGGAGCCAGAGGAGAAGGGAACACTCAGCAGGGAGCTGGTGCTGCTGGGGAGCCCCAGGGCAGTGCCAGCAGCAGGGCTCCAGGTGCCCCATCCCAACCCACCCTCCAACAAAGCCAGAGGCACAGGGACTCGGAGCTGCACCAGGGCTCCTGTCTCAGCTGGAGGAGCAAGGGGATGGCACGGATTAACCCAGCAGAATTTGGAGTGGGTCTCAGGGCAGCTAAGAAAACCCCAAATGCTGAGATGCATCACTGAAATTCAGGTTCTGGACTTTGCATGCTCCGCTCATGCGGTGTCTGCCCAAATTGCTGCATTTCCTCACGGACCACTGCTATTTTCAGTGTGGAACACATGGCAGAAGCTGGTTGAGGCTCAGGCTTGTGCCTGAGACACCCCTCCAGAGGCCAGGGGCTCTGGCACTCACCCACTCCTCAGTGCTGGCATCCAGCTAATGGAATATTTGACATGTTTTCTAGGTGACCACGTCTTTTAAAGGACTGAAAAAACCCAGCTCAGGTTTCTCCTGCGCTTTGTTCCACCTCTCCACAGCTATAGCTGGTTGAGTTTTAGTAGGATAATGGAGCAGGAGGAAGAGACCCATCAAAATGTAGCAATTTCAGGGTTTGTTGGGAAGCCAGGGAGGTGTCAGCACAGTGGCACCAAAGGATTCCAGCCAAACTCCTGTGCTGGGAAGGAGGAAAACCAGGACCATCCCAAACTGGTGGTTATCCACCAGGTTATCCACCAAAGCACTTGGGCATATGCTTAACTTCGGTTTTAAAGAGGTCAGTGGGGCTAAAAACATGATTAAATCAAATATGTGCTTAAGAGCTTTCTTGGATCGAGGCCCAGTGACCTTGTCTGCAGGAAATCTCTTCCTGCAGGAAGAGGGGACAGCTGCCTCTTCTTCCCAGAGCAGGCCCAGCAGCTCCCTTTCCCTGCTTATTGCTGCCCCAGCCAGGCAAAAAAAGATCCTTCAATCCACACATCCACGAGAATCTGGAATGGCAGATATCCCAAGAAAGAAACAGCACTCACTGCTCCGGAGGCGCTGGAAAGGCAGAGGCTCCCTTCAGGCTTTTCTGGAGGCAAAGGAAGAACAGAATTCCTGTAACCATGAGCCCATTCAACCCCAGATCCTGCCACTCTCAGGAATGCTGCCATGGAATGGGTTAGGCTGGAAGGGGCTTTAAGGATGATCCCATCCCACCCCCTCACCTTCCACCATCCCAGGCTGCTCCAAGCTCTGCCCAGTCTCCCCTTGGGCACTGCCAGGGATCCAGGGGCAGCCACAGCTGCTCTGGGCACCCTGTGCCAGGGCCTGCCCACCCTCCCAGCCAGGAATTCCTTCCTTACATCCAACCTAAATCTCTCCTCTTTTAGTTTAAATCCATCCTCTTTGTCCTGTCACTGTCTGCACATGTAAAAAGACATTATCCCTCTTTTCTGTGCCCTTGGAAGTGGCACAAGGTATCCCAGCACTCCCACAGCCACCAGTGCCACAGCAAGGAAACCATGGGTTGTACAGTCTGAAGGTTTCAGGTCTCCTGTCTGAATTTCTAAATAAATGCATCTTGTGCAAATCAAGACCCACATTTGCCCAGTGGGAGGACATTTCCACATCCCTGGAAGTGTCCAAAGCCAGGTTGGACAGGGCTTGGAGCAGCCTGGGACAGTGGAAGGTGTCCCTGCCATGGCAGGGATGGAATGAGATGGGATTTAAGGTCCCTTCCAACCCAAACCATTCCAATATTCCATGATTCTGCCACATGGAGATGACTGTTGTGTTCCCTGCCTGTGCCACAGGCACAGCAAATCCTCAGGGAGAGCGTGGAGGTGGCACTTGGGGACACGGCTCCGTGGCGGCCTTGGCAGTGTTGGGGGAATGGTTGGACTCGCTGATCTGGGAGAGCTTTTCCAACCTAACCAATCCTACAAATGCCTTAAGGAAGGGGCTGATGGGACCCTTCCCACCAAGCCCCAGCTCCCTCCCCACCTGCTGCAGCTCCTGGAGCTGCGTCTCCAGCTTTGCCTTTTCGTGCCGCAGGCGGTTCAGCTCCCGGGAGCTGTTGCTCAGCAGCTCTGGGTCTGTGATGGACAAGTGGAGCTCGGCAGGGCCACAGTCCATGGCGCTGGTGCCCAGGGTCCGGATCTGCTCCCGCTGCAGCCTGCAAGAGCACAGCTCAGTCCCTGCTCCCTGCTCGGGGACACCACCGGGCAGCCCCGCTGCTCCTCCGCGTGCCACGCGCTGGATCTGCCGCTCCTGCCCGCCCTGTGAGAGCTTCTGCAGGGAGCTTGTCCTAGAGCTATTTGTGGCTTTCCTACCACAAGTATTTCTGCTGCTTCCCACAGCCCAAGCTGCTGAGAGAGCTGAGAGCGCTGCAGGGCCGGGCTGGGAGGTGGAGCTATTTGTGGTACCTCTGCATTTCCACACCATCCACCGCGGGATCCATCTCTCACCCTGCATTCTAAGTGGGAGGAACATATGTGCAAAGCAGCTCCGTGGGGTCCAGAGCACCCTGATGTGCAGCTGGAGGCAGCTTGATCCCGGATTGCCAGGAGCAGGGAGATAAATGTGCATTCCAGACCCTCACCTCCTTCTAGGGCAGGGGATGGGTGTCCTGGGGCTTTCCCAGCTTTTCCCAGCCCTGAGGAGCAGAGGCTGAGCCTTACCCGTAGGCAATGAGCAGGTTCTCGTGCTTCTTGGCCAAGTCCTTCATGCGTTTCTTGTAGCCCCGGGCTGCCCGAGCCAGCTGCTCCTCCCGGGACCTGTAGGAAGCCCGGATGTCCCCGAGCATGCTGTCCACAAAGTTCTTCATGGCAGCGTGGCCAGCTGGGGCTCTGCTGGGTCCTGTCACGCTGCTGGGTTTGCTGTCCATGTAGTTCTGGAAAAGCACAGAGAGGGAAATCCAGGGGGAATGGCTTCCTCCTGCCAGAGGGCAGGGATGGGTGGGATATTGGGAAGGAATTGTTCCCTGGGAGGGTGGGCAGGCCCTGGCACAGGGTGCCCAGAGCAGCTGTGGCTGCCCCTGGATCCCTGGCAGTGCCCAAGGCCAGGTTGGACAGGGCTTGGAGCAGCCTGGGACAGTGGAAGGTGTCCCTGGATATGGCAGGGTAGCACTGGATGAGATTTAAAGTCCCTTCCAACCCATTCCATGATTCTGTGGCAGCCCCCCCCACACACTCAGATTTCCTGTAGGGCCACACAAAATTATTGGTGAGCTTCTGCTGGGACTTTTCTTGGTCAGATTACAGGGATTTAAAAACCCCTTTCTTTATGTATTTACTCTTATTTATTGGCAGTAGCCTACAAGAGGAGGGTGCAAGTACAGAGACAGCTGAGGGAACAGCTGGAGCTGGGCCAGGGCAGGGTCAGGCTGGATTTTGGGAAAAGTTCTTCCCCAGAGGGTGCTGGCACTGCCCAGGCTCCCCAGGGAACGGGCACAACCCTGAGGCTGCCAGAGCTCCAGGAGTGCTTGGACAATGATCTCAGGGATGCCCAGGGTGGGATTTGGGGTGTCTGTGCAGGGCCAGGGGCTGGATCCATGATCTTTGTGGAACCCTTCCAGCTCAGGATATCCCATGGATCTGTGGCACCTCCCAGGTGAGCCAGGAGAGCCCCGGGTGGGCACCCACCGCCAGGTCCCTGATGTGCTGCGCCAGCCGGGAGCGATATTCCTCGTTCAGCTCCTTCAGCTGCAGCTGCAGCCGGGAGTTCTCCGCCTCCACCTCCCGGAGCTGGCTCTGGGATGTGAGCAGCACCTGGCACAGCAAACAAAAATCCTGCTGGCCTGGTCCTCCAGCCGAGGAGCGGGAGCTGAGACACTTTGTAAGAGCTGAGGGTCTTCATTTTCACATATTTGGCTTCACTAGAGCTGAGAAGGTCCTGGATTTTCAGAGGAACCTCCTGGAAATGTTTATAATCCCTATTCCCCTGCTACCTTCTGTCATCTGCCACCCCCAACCCCGGTGATTCCACCAACTCTTTCTGAAAACCAGCGAGCAAAATTCCTCCCACCAGCTCTGCAAGCAGCACTTCCACCACGTGCAGGAGGAAACCGCACGGGGAGAACCTCGGTGTGCCACAATCCCCGGAGAGGGAGAGCTGCAGGAGCACCTGGATTCAGGGCACCGCAGCCCCGGCAGCCCAGGAGGAGGCGGAGGGGAGGAGGCAGCCCGAGCTCACCGCTGATTGCTGCGCCAGCCTGTGCCGGCTGTCCCCGGCCGCTCCCTTCGCCTCCTGCAGCTCCTTCCCCAGCGCCAGCCTGCGCACACAGCGGGAAACTGGGTTTATTTGAGCTGCCCAAACTCCTTCTCCATCCCTGGAAGTGTCCAAGTTCAGGCTGGACGGGGCTTGGAACAACCTGGGATAGCGGAAGGTGTCCGTGCCCATGGCAAGGGGTGGAGTGAGATGGGCTTTAGGGACCCCTCCAACCCAACCCATTCTGGGATTCTCCATAGGTCCAACACAACCAGCTTTGGGAAGAAAAGCACTTTGGAATGACAGAAATCTCCCGGCAGCAGCTGCCAGCATCCAAATATGTGTAAAACCAGTGCCACAAAATCTCTTCCCACTTAGGATGAGCACCCAGTGTTCAGAGGGGTGAGTCTGTAGCATTCCTGCTGGGGCAGCCTTTCCTGGGACACTAACCCCATTCCAAGGTGATGGAAAACCCACTGTGTGGGCAAGGGCTGGGGTGTCACTTGTTGGCTGTGTGTCACAGAGAGTGGATTTTCAAGGTGTCCCTGAACACCACCAACTTTCATCTGGCAGCTCTGAAGAGCCTTGAAAACATCTGATTTTCCTTCCAGGCCTCGTTCCTTCCCCGTACCCCCCAGGGCAGACTGCCCCTCTCCTGCTCCCATGGGTCAAATCCAGCTGCAACAAGTCCCACAAACGCCTGGCCAAGCAGAGGGACACTCACACTCGCTCCTCCAGCTTCTGCTGCTGCTCATCGTGCGTTTTCTTCAGTTTTTCCAGCTCCACTTTTATGTGATCCTGGTTTCCAAGCAACTGAGGGACAAACGAAGAGGAAGATGAGGCAGAAGGCTGCGTGAAGAGAGGACAAAGTGAGGAGAACCTCGAGCTGAGCACTTGTCCAGCTGAGCAGTGACGTGCTGGGGGAAGTACTGGTTTGAGTGGGAGGGACTGGTGCCCTGCAGCGGGCAGGAATGGTGTCTGAGGCACAGCCAGGGCACGTGGAGGTGCACATGTGTCGCTCTCCCGAGGGAAACGCTCACGTTGAGAGTCAGATTCCCAGCAGGAGCTGGTGGCGGAGCCCAAGCTGGTTCTGCAAGGGCTGCAGATGGGGAGGAGGCAGGAACCATCTCTGTGCTCTCCGTTTTGGGTGCTGCATCACCCCCAGAGTTCTCAAGTGTGAGAAAGAAGGAAGAAAGTGTCCTCTGCACTTGTTGGCTTCTAAGCTCCTGTCTGTGCTCCCCCTGCCAGGGCAAGGACCCAGGGAATCACCTCTGCCCTCCTCAGCTCTGCCTGCACATCTGGAGTTATTCCTGTCTTGTTTTGCCATTGCAGGGTTTAAAAAAAGGATTTCAAATGAATCGAGGCATCAGCTGATGCACAAAACTCAAGTTAGCAGCGGGAGGTGCCAGCCGCAGTCGGAATCAATCCCCCTCTGCTTCCCAAGGATCCTGCAGCAGACCCCCGCTCACTCACGTTTCTCTGCAGCTCCTGCTGCTCGTGTTCAGAGGCAGCTGCATCCTCGGGCTGGTTTGGGGAGAGAGGAGGACAGGAGAAGGGGGCTGGCAGGTCTCTGTTCTCCGAGGGGCTGGTGCAGGGGCAGAGAGTCCCTTACCTTCCCCCGCCGAGCAGAGCGGGGGTGTCCTGCTGCTCCCCCTCCTCCCAGCCCCGGGCAGGATGGATGGGCTGAGCCAGGGGGGTGGCTGCTCCCTTTGGCCAGGCTGAGCAGCTCCTGGGTCAGCTCCTCGTTCCTCATCACCTGCAAGGTCAAACAAGAAGGAAAGAACTTCTGAAATCCCCCTCTGGCCAGCACATCCCTGCTGCTCCTGGTGTGTGCTCCAGGCAGGCACTCCCTCCCCAAATCAAATTTTCATTTTAGTTCTGTCTCCTACATCCAAAGATAGGATGATGAGCACCAGGTGATTTTCGGGTTCTCACGGAATGCACTGCCAGGCAGCGGGGTTATTCCCATGGAATGGCATCCCTCTGCACATCCCACACTCACATCCAGAGCCCAGTGCCAGCCCTGGGCACAGCTCTGCCACCACCTCTGCAGGCCTCCAGCTCCCTCCTGCCCCCACTCTGCACCCGCCACTCAGCTTCACACTTCAGCAACGTCCAAACCCATGGGACAGCTTTGAGCAGTGCTGGGCTCCACAGTGCAAGGGCCAGGTCTCCATCCATCCGTCCATCCATCCATCCATCCATCCGTCCATCCATCCATCATCCATCATCCATCCATCCATCCATCCATCCATCATCCATCCCTCCATCCATCATCCATCCATCCATCATCCATCCATCCATCATCCATCATCCATCATCCATCCATCCATCATCCATCCATCCATCCCTCCATCCATCCATCCATCATCCATCCCTCCATCCATCCATCCATCATCCATCCCTCCATCATCCATCCATCCATCCATCCATCCATCCATCCATCCCTCCATCCATCCATCATCCATCCATCCATCATCCATCATTCATCCATCCATCATCCATCATTCATCCATCCTTCCATCCATCCACCCATCCATCATCCATCATCCATCCATCATCCATCCGTCCATCCGTCCATCCGTCCATCCATCCTTCATCCATCCATTACCATCCGTCCATCCATCCTCCATCCATCCTTCATCCATCCATCCATGCATCCATCCTTCATCCATCCATTACCATCCATCCATCATCCATCCATCCATCCACCCATCCATCCTTCCATCATCCATCCATCCTTCCATCCATCCATCCATCTTCCATCCATCCTTCCATCATCCATCCATCCATCCATCCATCCATCCATCCATCCTTCCATCATCCATCCATCATCCATCCATCCATCCATCCATCCATCCATCCATCCATCCATCCATCCTTCCATCATCCATCCATCATCCATCCATCCATCCATCCATCCATCCATCCTTCCATCATCCATCCATCCATCATCCATCCATCCATCCATCCATCCATCCATCCCTCCATCCCTCCGGATGACATTCCCAGTTTGGCTGGAAGGCCTCTCCTCAGCAGCAGCCAGCCCACAGCCCCTGTAGGCAGCTGTGCTGGTGCCAAGTGACACATTTCCAAAAGATAAAGAGGATCGGAATGAGAAAAGCTGGTTACAGGTGATCTGGAGGGAACACTGGGGGAATTCATGTCTCCCAGGAGGGTTTCTGTGTAGATAACAAAGCTCCGAAGGGGTTTATGACTGGGGACAAGCTTGAGGAATTGTTACCATGGCAGTGAATCGGGAGGATGGGAGGCAGAGGTCATCTGAGTCATCCGTGGAGAGAATAGCTTATCAAAAGATAGCACGGGGTGGGCTGGGGGAGAGCGGGGAGAAAGGAGGCTGACAAAGAGGTGAGATATACAGCTGTGAAACCTGACAGCTCGGCAGAGACAGCTCCGCTTGTTCCCGGCCCGCAGCGATCCATCTGCAGCTGTCAGCCCTGACAATTTGATCGCAGGGGTCACAAGGACCGGTTTAGCCCCCCCCCCAAAAAAAAAAAAAAAAAAAAAAAAAAGGGCAGTTTGAGTTGGGCTTCGCTGCCTTTTCCTGAGCTCCCGAGCCTGGCGTGGCTCCAGGGAAAACCCCGGCGTGGAACCCAGAGCGGGTTTGGGTCCCCTCGGGGGCAGCCGGAGCGAGCCTGGGGGACAAAGGGAGAAGGAAACGGAGAGCGGGGAAAGGTCAGAGCCTTGAAAAGGAAGAATTTCCAGCGAGTCAGCAAACAGCCCCGAGTGCCTGGCCGGCATGTCCCGCTTCCCCAGGGCCGGGCAGGGCCGGGGCCGCGGCGGTGCCGCATCCCCGCACAAAGGAACCGGAGGCTCCGGCTGCTCCCGGACAAGGGGCCGTGAATGAGCTCGCCGAGCTGCTCCTGCGCCGAGCAGCCATGACAACATATTGGCAAGGTCACAAGTAGCACTTGTAATTGGGAATGTGTAAAAGGTTCATTGTCTCCCCCAGAAGAGCGCGGGGAAGGGGAGGGGGCAGAACCGCAGGCTGCTTTTCCCATTTCCTTTGGGAAAGTCCGCGCTGGGAAAATAATGAGCGAGAGGCCCATGTCGCGACAAGTCCCAGGCTGCCAAGTCAGAGCCTCTCTGGCTTCAGGCAGGGATTTTTGGGAGTCGGAGCCAAGGAACTGGGGTAAACTCCTCGGCATATGGAGGACATCCAAGGAATTCACCTCTGGCTTCTGGCCCTGCTTCAGCACCGCTTGGAGCAGCCTGGTCTGGGGGAAGGTGTCCCGTGGCAGGGGCTGGAATAAGATGGGCTTTAAAGCCCCTTCCACCCCAAAACATTCCTTGACTCTATGGTTCTTCAGGATGCTGTCTGGCACAGACCTGAATCCACGTGCTTTCACCTTCGGAACCATCCCGGGATCCATGTGAAAACTGTGTTATTACCTCTAACCTGCTAAACCCATCGTTTAGAGATGTCAGCTGCCTGAAAATCCAGATTTCGACAAACACATTGCACCCCCTTGGGGACAAGAAGCAGCTGAGGCTGCTGATGGCTGAGCGATTCCTCCTGAGCCCGGCACAACTGGGAGCTCAGCCCCGTGCTCCAGCGGGCTCGCAGGGTGGGATCACCCCCTGCGAGAGCCGAGTTCTCCTCCTCGTGAGAAATTCCCATTTCTCAGCTGCTGGGAGGCAAACGAGCTCTCCCCAAGGGTCACTAACTCGCGGGTGATCATTATCCTGCTCTGCCAGAGCCCATCCACACTGGACCAGAGCAGCATTCCTGCTGCACATCTTCCCGGCGTGGAAAACCAGGTCAGCGAGCTGAGGCAGCCAAAGTCTGCTGGGGGAGGGAGGGAGCAGGAGGTGTCAGTCACTCCACTGGATTCAAAAAGAAGGAGAAGCAGGAGGGGGAGAGGGAGGGGACACAGGAAGGACTATTGAAGTAGCCAAAGAAATACACAAATCTGGGTCCAAAAGCCTCTGCTTAATCTTTGCTGAGCTAGCAGTCAGCGGGAAGGCGTCTGTCCCTTAAGGAACCGTCAGAAAGTTGCTTTGAATTGGGTGTTTTTATAAATTTGTCGACCTGAAAGCTGCCAGGCCCCTTCTCGCCGCCGCTGGGAATGAGAGCGGCTCCAACCCGTTCACAAGCCAAGCAGAAAAAAGGGGAACAAAGCGGCCGGTGGAGCGGAGGGACCGGCCCCGGCCCCGGCACCGCCGCGACCCCCGCGGGGGCTGCGCCCGGGGCTGCCGGGGCCAGGGGTCAGCACAGCCCTGTCCCCAAACTGTCCCCAAACTGTCCTCAGCCTGTCCCCAAACTGTCCCCAACCCTGTCCCCATCCCTGTCCCCAGCCTGTCCCGAGTTCTGTCCCCATCCCTGTCCCCAGCCTGTCCCCAGCTCTGTCCCCAAACTGTCTCCAAACTGTCCCCAGCCTGTCCCCAGTTCTGTCCCCAGCCTGTCCCCAGTTCTGTCCCCAACCTGTCCCCATCCCATCCCCATCCCTGTCCCCATCCCGTCCCCATCCCTGTCCCCAACCTATCCCCATCCCTGTCCCCAACCCTGTCCCCATCCCGTCCCCATCCCTGTCCCCATCCCATCCCCAGCCTGTCCCCAGCCTGTCCCCACTGAGGGCAGCTCTGCAGGCCATGTGAGGAGCTGTGTTACATCAAATCCCTGGAGACAAGCCCAGGGCCAGGCTGTGCCGTGTCACAGCTCGGAGCTGGACATGTCCTGGCCGTGTGTGCTGGGACCCCGAGCCCCCCTGGGCTGGGCTGAGTCCTGCCATGGGCAGCAGGGGGGAGATTCTGCCCCTCTGCCCCCTCAGGTGAGACCCCACCTGCAGAGCTGCTCCAGCCCTGGGGCCAACAGCAGCAGGACCTGGAGCTGCTGGAGAGAGTCCAGGGGAGCCCAGGGAGATCCCCAAGGGCTGGAGCCCCTCTGCTCTGGCTGGCAGAGCTGGGGGTGCTCACCTGGAGAGGAGAAGCTCCAGGGAGAGCTCAGAGCCCTGCCAGGGCCTAAAGGGGCTCCAGGAGAGCTGGAGAGGGACTGGGGACAAGGGACGGAGGGACAGGACACAGGGAATGGCTCCCACTGCCAGAGGGCAGGGCTGGATGGGATATTGGGAATTAGGAATTGTTCCCTGGCAGGGTGGGCAGGCCCTGGCACAGGGTGCCCAGAGCAGCTGTGGCTGCCCCTGGATCCCTGGCAGTGCCCAAGGCCAGGCTGGATGGAGCTCGGAGCAGCCTGGGACAGTGGAAGGAGTGGCACTGGATGGTTTTTGTGGACTTGGTGGCCTTTAAGAGGTCCCTCAACAAGAACCTTTGTACAATTTGTGCTCCCTGGACCTGAGCCATGAGGGGGGTGCACAAAGGAAAGCCAAGCGAGGCTCCTGTGCAGCAGGGCATGTGAGTGGAGCTGGATCTGTGGGATGAGCCCTGGGATGAGCCCTGGGATGAGCCCTGCAGCCTCTCTCACCTCCTTGTCCAGCTCTCTGCCGAGGGCCAGGTAATTGCTCTTGAGGATGATGAACTCCTCGCCCAGCTCCTGCCGGCCCCGCTCCAGCTCCTGCAGCCGCCTCTCCAGCGCCTGCATCTGCTCGGGCCACAGCAAAGGGGCTTTAAAATCATGGGGATTTAAGGTTAAAAGGAAAAATAAGTTTAGTAGGGCCTGGAAAAATGAACACCCTAAGCACATGAAGAACTTGTACTTGCTAGAACTGCACCTGTACATGATAATTGATAGAATTGTTAGATGTGATGATTGTTTAGTGATTAAATATAATTACTGTTTAATCATAGGAATAATCATGAGAAACTGTGGTCAGGGACCTAAGAAAGATCACGAGAAACTCATGTCAATGTATACAATAGAACAACATAAGATTAATAATGAATATGTAAGTTATATAAGGATAGAATATAAAATACGTTCAGCTCGAAAGCCGTGTTGGAGTCAGATTTGGGTGTGCACCCCTGATTGCCAGAGCTCTCAATAAAGCACCTGCATGGAATCACATCCTGGGATTCTGTGTGCTCCTGAACGCTGACAAGGGGACAGCACAGGCTCCAAAAAGGATTGCCCGGGAGCTCCTGGCACCTGGGCTGCTGGGGGAACTCAGCCCCCCAAAGGCAGGAGGTGGCAGGCAGAGTGAACAGGCTGTGTGGAGCTGCAGGGCTGGGGAAGGCTCTGGCAGGCTGGAACTGGCTGTTGCCAAAGGTGGCTACCGTGGTTTTCAGCTGGAAGTTCTCAGTCTCGTAACGCTCCTTCATTTTGTTTGTCTCTATCTGGAGATCCAGGAGGTCTTTGGAGATCTGGGAGAGACAAAGGCAGTGAAGGCCAGGGATGGATTCTGAGGCCAGTGTGATGTTTGAGCACAACACAGCCCCCCACCAAAGGAGGAATTTCCCCCCAGATCTCCCCCTGTGGATCCACTGGCCTGACACAGCATCACAGCTCAGTTCCCTCCAACTCCCAAAGTTTTACCTTCAGTTTTTCCTCTTCACCGAGGACCATCCTGGCTGGGAAGTCTGTCCTGGAGCCAGGCAGCTTCCCCATCTCCTCCTGTGGGTCTCCAGGCTGGTGCATCTCCTGCTTCCCGTCCTCCAGCTGCACCTGCAGGCACAGAGCAGCCCCAGCTGGGCTCTCCTCTCCCCCTGCCTCTCAGCCACCAGAGCTGCTGGGAGAGCTCAGCCCCTCCAGCTCCTCAGGAGCTGAACAGACTGCAGCATTTCTGCCCTGTGGTTGGCATTTCCCTGGCAGAGTGCTGTTGAAGGGGCTGCAGGCCTTCAGAGCTGGATTTTCGGGCGGCAAGGTGCTCCGTCAGAATACTCACATCCTCCTTCCCTGCAGCAGTTCCAAGATCCATGTGCTCAGAGGCCAGGGGCTCTCACAGGGCTGGGCAGGCAGCGACTGAGGAGCCAAGGAAGGAGCTCTAAGGAGCCTCTCCCGGGAGGTCCAGCGCTGTTGCTACCAACTCTGGTTACCAGAGGCTTCCACCTGGGTTTTAAGGTGGCTCCAAACCTTACAGCCACCCTGGGAGCTGCTGGAGGGAAAGCAGTGGTGCTTCCCAGGAGGGTTCTGTATTCCCAGCTCAGCCCACAGCAGACACTGGAACAAGGAGCTCAGGAACATCCCCGGGGCAGCCAGGGAGGAGGAACCAGCCCCTTTATGGACCACTCCCAAACCTGGCTGCAGGGATGGCCTCCATCTCCAGTGCAGGGATATTCCAGTGCTCCAGGGGCTGACAGGAGAGAGGGAGAGCGACCTTTAACAAGGGCCAACAGTGACAGGACAAGGGGAAAGGTTTTTAAAGTAATAGAGGAGAAATTGAGAATGAGTAAAGAGCAGGGATGGATGGGATATTGGGCAGGAATTGTTCCCTGGGAGGGTGGGCAGGCCCTGGCACAGGGTGCCCAGAGCAGCTGTGGCTGCCCCTGGATCCCTGGCAGTGCCCAAGGTCAGGCTGGAGCAGCCTGGGACAGTGGGAGGTGTCCCTGCCCATGGCACTGGATGGATTTTAAGGTCCCTTCTCGCCCAAAGCATTCCATGATTCCAAGGGCTGATTAGCCCAATAATTAACCCACTAAACCAATCACCTGCTCCAAGCCCATCCCACTGTATCTGATTTTCTTCCAGGAAATTTCCTCTTGATTCCTACAGTCCTTGAACCTCCCATGCCAACGAGCTGCTCCAGTGCTCCCAGGATCTGAGTTCTGGGTGCAGGAAAGGCCTTTCCCAATTCACCCCTTCCCGTCAGAGCTGCTGTGTGGAAAAAGATGTTTTAAAGAAAAGCATGCACTGAAACAAGCCTGACAGTGCTAGAAATGGCTTGTGCTGGTCTGGGTGCTGCTGCTGGCTCCAAACTGGGACCTGCCAGGCTGGAATGGGACAAATCCCACAGCCAAAAGTGTTTTGAGAATCTCCAGGGTCAGAGTGAGGGTAACAGGGAATGCAGGGAAACACTGGAAAACCTGAAACAGGGAACAATCAGATGGACTGGGAGACCTTTAGAGGGCCCTTCCAACTCAAACTCTTCCACGATTCTAGAATGAATTCCAGCTCTTAATCTCCTCATTTCAGGCTTATTATTGCTGCTATTTCTGGAGAGTGGGTGAGTTTAGGTAAGGATCTGTCTCCCACAGAAAAAAAAAAGCTTTGACAATATAATGTTCAAAAAAGCCCAAAGCTCTGAATAACTCCTCAGGATCTGTCAGAGCTCAGCAGATGAGAGGGAGAGGGGCCACCCTGGCACAGCTCCGTGACAAGCAGAGCTCCTCACCTGCTCCAGGAGACCCAGAACCCCCCAGTGAAGGTGCCCAGGGGCCAGAGCCAGGGGCTGAGCGTTTCGGGGGGGTCAGGGGAAGGAGAAGCCAGCAAACCCTGCAATGACGGCTTGTTTTTCTGCAAAAGAACTTAACAGACCTGAAGTAATTTTATTAAGGTAATGGGAGTGTTGATGAGAATTCACAGTCTCTTCACACCCGGCGGAGCCGAATTCACACCCTGCCCACGGCCGGAGCCTCGGCAGCTGCAGCTCCGCTCCCCGGGCGGGTCCCAGGGGTCCCAGCCCCACATGGACACCCCAGGGATGGGCACCCCCATCCCACAGCCCCGGATGCCGTCCCGGACCCCGAGACCCTGATTTGGGGGGGAACAGCCCCACCCATCGCACCGGCGCTCCCCGAGCCGCAGCGAGCCCGTTCCAATTAACGGGCAATTAACATACGCAAACACGGCGTTGTTTATGCAATAAATAACCTGGGTGCCAGGTGCCCTACCGACACCAGCAGTGACAGTGACCACTTTTTCCGGGGGCTGGGAACACGAAGCCAATTTTGTGCCGGGCAACACCACAAAAAGCAGATTCGGGTTGAGAAATGAAGTTTTGGGGCGTCACTGAATCTCCACCAGCACTCCGGACTAAACGCAAGCCCAGCAGACCCAGATCCCGGCTGTGCCCTGGGGGATTTTCACTCTCCTTGTCAGGCACACCTTAGACCTAAAAGCAGCCCCGGAGCGCGGCTTTAGGGGATGGAGCCGCCCCGAGCCCGCGGAGCTCGGGGGAAGCTTTGGGGCGCTCAGTCCCGCACCGAGCCCGCTGCTGGCTGCCACCTGTCCCCCAGCCCCGCAGGGTCACACGCGGCCCTGTGCCCCCCAGGGACCCCCGAGCGGAGCAGGGGGAGCGGTCCCGGCTCCCGGCAGAGCCGCACGGGCTCAGCGCAGCGAGTGGCTCCATCTGGCTTCCAGCGCCAGCAAAGGGAGCTCGAGTCCGCTCCCGGATCTGCCAGATTCCACCCGGGATGCCAGGGGAGCCCTCTGCCACCCGGGATGCCAGGGGAGCCCTCTGCCACCCGGGATGCCAGGGGAGCCCTCTGCCACCCGGTGCCCGAGCCTCGCTGCCCCAGGGATGGCCAATCCCCGGGCACCCCCCTCCCACCGATCCCCCCAGCACATTTTCTGTTTATATCCAACCTAACCCAGTTTAAAACCACCACCGTTTCTCGTGGCTTGAGGAAAAGCTTTTCTCTGTCACTTTTCCAAGCCCTCAGGCTGCCACAAGGAATTCTCCAGGCTGGACAGCCCCAGCTCTCGCAGCCTGGAGAAGGGAGGGGAGGGGGCTGCAGAGCCTCGCTCAGCTCCCCCAGGAGGAACAGCAAAGGTTCTTCCAGCCCCGGCCATCTCCAGGCTCCCCTCTGGGTCTGCCCTGTCCCACCCAGGCCTGCCCTGTCCCGGGGTGCCAGGGCTGGGTGTTGGTGTGCTCGGGGGGCTGAGGGCAGAACCATCTCCCTGCCCTGCTGAACACCCCTCTGCTGATGCAGCCCTGGGCTGCTGGGCTTGTGGCTTGCTGTGGGAAATGGATTTGCAGCTTTTAGGGTTTGATAGAAGGCTTACACCAGATGTATTTGTATGTAAACTTCGAGATAAGAAATGTCTCTCCGTTGGCCCACCACTGGGTCCGACAGGTCGCCAGCACCCACTGCCACCCCACGTCCCTTTTGTCACCCCCTGGCACCTCCAGGCGCTGCCCTGCAGGGCTGGGAGGAGAGCTGGGATGCGGCGGGCGGGGATGCGCTGGAGGATGGGTGGGGCTGCGATGGGGGCAGGAGGAAAGCTCTGCTCGGCCTGCCACGCTCCCAGCCCGTCCCTCCACCCAGGCACCCCGAGGAGCAGGCTGCTCCCTCCGTGTCCAGCTCTGGAGAGCCGAGGTGGCACATGGAGAACACCTCTCCCCTCCCTGGCCCATGGAGAACACCTCCCCATGCCCACCCTGGCCCATGGAGAACACCTCTCCCCTCCCTGGCACACAGGAGAACACCTCCCCATGCCCACCCTGGCACATGGAGAACGCCTCCTGCCCGCCCTGGCACACAGGAGAACACCTCACCCCTCCCTGGCCCATGGAGAACACCTCCCCATGCCCACCCTGGCACATGGAGAACGCCTCCTGCCCGCCCTGGCACTGCCCTCAGCATGCCCTAGGCACGGTGGCTGCCTCGTTCCCTCTGCTCCCTGCCCCAGCCCGGTTTCATTCTGGCAGCCACGGCTGTTCCCTGCCTCCATGCACCTCCAAATCCCCGCTCCCAGGGCCCCCTGTTTTCCCCACACCTCAATGTTTGGGAATTTTCCCATCTTTGCCTCCAGCAAGGGCTCTGGCCAGCCTGAGTCACCTCTTGGGGACGTCCTCACCTCTCCCAGTCCAACCAGCCCGGCCAGGCTGGTGCTGGTGACGTGGTGGCCACGCGGGCCACCAGGACAGAATTGGCATCCCTGCAGCTGCCAGGACACGGGGCACCTTTCCCAAGCTCCACACGAGGCTCTGCAGCCGTAGCAGGGCAGCAGGTGGCACTCAGAGATGCCCACGGGGACCTTTACCAGCAGCTGCCACCGCTGCCCTGTCCCCATGTCCAGCAGCAGGGACCAGGATGAGCAGAAACGTGGGTGAGCATCAGGCAAAGTGCCACTCCTGGGGCTGGGTCCCTGCTGGGGTGCCCAGGAGAGTGGCACAAGCCCCGTGGTGCTGGTGCCACCCCTCCCCTCTCCGTGGGGCACGTTTTTGGTCCTCAGCGAGGAGTGCTGGTTGCCCTGGCAACGTGAGATGCTCTCCTCCAGACAGGGACAATATTTGGCAAGATTTGCTAAAAATACTCCCTAACTCAGCTGTGCCATGCCACACGTGTCACCTCCCTGCTGCCCAGGCCTTGCTGGGTGGGTGCTGTCCCTGCTGGTGTCCAAGTGTCCCTGGTCACTCACCCTGATGGGTGGGGATGCAGCAGGGACCTGCCGGGGTCCCACAGCAGATGTGGCCCAGCCCTGTCCCCTCCCCAGCCCGGGGACAGAGCAGGGACACCAGGGACAGCTGGTGGCATGTCCCACCCAAAGGGACTGGGAAGCTCCCTGGGGAGGGAGCTGCAGGCACAGGAGCTGCTGGGGAAGGTAAATGATTCTTTAGAGTTTAAATAGGTTTAAAAAGTACTTTTAAATGATTTTGTTGCTTTTCCTAATACCATTACAGCCTTCTCCATGGCAACCAGGGGAGGGGCTCAGACTTTGGTCCGGGCTGGGAGTTTATCTGCCGGGCTGAAGGGGTGGGGGATCACACGGGGGTCCACACTGGCCAGGGACACGCTGGGAAGGGGACACGTGTGGTGGGGACCAAAGCCAGGTCCCCACGGTGGCTGAGGGTGCAGGGACCACCAGCTGCAGGTCCCAGCATCTCCTGCCACAGGAGCCACCTGGAGATGAGGGGGCCAGGGAGGTTGAGGGGTGCAGACAGGCCTGGAGGAGATCCTCAAGGATCTCTAAAGGTGGAGATGCGTCCACCTCCTCCCTGCACTGCAACCACTCTGGGAAGGGATTTCCTTATTTACCCTCCTTATTTTCCCATTGCATCTCATTCGATA